AAGTCAATTCGTTCGTAAATCGGGACAGCTTAATCTCATCCGAATCTCTTTTTAAAAAGAGAAGAGTTTGCGAATGAGTTTAGTTTGCAGGTCGCGCACAATTTGGGTTTAAGCAGAACACATCTGTAGCGAAAACTCGAAGAGTGCCCCCACCTGATGAGCCTTGAAAGGACCGAGGTTGGTCGTTGGCTGTCAAACTGTTTCCAGCAACCTTATTAATATTGTTTCATCACCAAACTAGATATAATCCACTCACAGAGGCAACTTATTCAAGAAACTCTTTTTTAACCCCAAAAAGGCATGCAACAGCATAAAAGTCCATTTTGGTATGGAAAAAAATGAGAAACGTAGGCATGACACCGCGATCAACCTTCTGGCAACATATGTTACGGTTAAGTCAAACCATCTCAACGGAAGCTCCACTAAGGCCTAGACTACTTGCAAAAAAGTCACCCAGATGAAACTTTCACCACTGGACTGGCTACCAGTTTACAAGAGGACGTGAAGGTATATCTAGTCAGCCACCACATTTGACTACTCTACTTACGGATTCCTTGTCACGCTAGATATCTTGAACGTTTGAAATCAAAACCTTGGAGCTTACAGCAGCACACCAACATGCCTCGATCAGCCAGTTCAACCCAAGCAGTAGTGCAATTTATAGTCGTACTGCCTAACTGAAATGTACCATTTAAGATCATACAGCGAAGGAATACGAAACGGCGCTCACAGAGCAAAATGCAATCAGTTGCATGATTAGGTGTGAGAGCCGTACTACTTCATCATACATATGATGTGGGCGGACTGAGATTGAATGTAGAGGTGGGGCAGCGCGTGGATAGCTGTGCATGAATCGGCGAACGGGTAGTCAAGTTTAAACATCGAAAATGAAAAGAAGACCAATTGGGGCGACAAAACCATTGGAATTCAGTTCAACGTTGGATGTTGCCAATGTATAGGGATATCCATATCAGTATTCATAGGAAAGTGTAGAACGTGATATTCGCTTTGTAATGCCTTGTAATGACCATAACCCTTATTTTTACTCTCACATAAATTAAAGACGAACCCCTGGCCAGGGAAACAGCCTAGGATAGAAAACTAAGCCGCGTTGGAGGGACAAATCGAAGAATATGACGGACAAACTTGCTATACTTAGAGCCCTGCAATTTGGAGGTACGGGTTTCTATA